GGCTTTTTTACTTGTAATTATCTCATACGAGAAAATATGTTTAGAAAACAAAACCAAAAGTGAAAAGATTATTGAATGGTTATCCTTTATTTCTTGATCAACAAATTCATTTCGTTCAACTGCAAACACCAAGTGATGTTTACAATATATGAAGACTGAAGTCTAATGACTTCTCTTGCCAAAGCATAAGAGCATAAGTGTTTTTTTTTTTTTTGTCATGTGGACATAGCAAAAATTTTAATGAAAGAAAACAGAGGCCTGAGGTTGTGGATATCTTCTAATATTCTGAAAACTTCCTTGATGATCGTGACGAGTTAATTGCTCCGATAAGGGTCTGAGAATCTAAGTGTAGGCAGCAGAGAGCTTTGTGATTCTTTTATCACTAGCTTTATGAAGCGCCAACCTTTTGTCCTCATTCCATGCTCCATCCTTATTGGCAGAAGATGGTATCGAGTGGGAGCGACGAAGGTGCAGAGAAACAAGATGCTTTAATTTCCTTCATCCTATCTTCATCTTGAGCACACATAGTATTAGAATACATAAGAGTTATTGGTTTAGTTGGTTAAGGTTATATTTAGTTTATGTTTTAGTAGATTCTATATAACCAGGGGCGGACCCACGTGGGCCAGAGAGATTTCAGCTTACATATTTTCTGTTTTTTCATATACTAGAGGATGTCCCGAACTATGCCCGGGTTTGTTGATTATAGATTTGTTTGTTGTTTTGATCTTATAGAAACAGTATTGTAATAGTTTTGTGCTTTTGTGCATTTAAAAACGATTATATTTTTATTCAATATAAATATTTATAAGTAATGATTTTTAAAAATTTTAAAATTTGACTTGTTTGAAATTTAAAATAATTTTATCTTTTGGAAATTCAACTGGAGAGGGTTTGTTGTGCTTTCATATATATGATTATTTAGCTAAATCATCACCACTGCTTTTAAAATAATTTCATATATATTTTTGTAAATGTTTATGCATATTCTTTTTTCTAGTGATTTTTTTTTTTTAAATTTATTTAATGCTTTAGGAAAAAAATAATTTTATTTGATAATTGATACATGGCAATGAATTTTTTTTTAAATGTTGAAAGCAAAAGAGTTCTCAAACTATTGATGAACCACTAAAAATATGCATGAAAATTTTGTGTTATTTTTTTGCATTATCACAACGTTTATCTTATTTATGTTATAATCCGGAATTATACATTTAACCAAAAAAGATTAAATATAAGGGACTATTTTAATAATGTATACTTAAGTTTAGTTATTTAACTTTTAGTCTTGGTTAGAAATTAGAAATTACTTTTGATTGAGTTTTTTTGGATAGTTTAAAAATGTTTTGCTCATTTACTAATTTGTATTAATTAAATTTTTTTCTATTTTTTCATTTTACTTTTCTAATATCCTTAATAACTTAAAAACTGAGTGAAAATTATTATTTGACATCTTCGTAAATTTGATAATTTATATCGATTACTTTTTTACAAACAGCAACTTGTAATTTCATGTATGCAACTATGAACACATGACAAAGAATATCTTCATACATTTGATAATTGAGAAATTTCAAAAAATG